CCCGCTGCCGGGGCGTCCTTTCAGATGCTTTGCTTCCGGTGCCTCTGGTCTGCTGGGGACCGTCTCCAGCAGACCAGGGACACCGGGAGCAAAGCCGGGGAGGCGGAGGGGCGCTGGGGTATAAGACGAAAACCTATCTTTTAACTAAAAAATTAGGGGGTCGTCTTATACGCCCAGTAGCCTTATACACCGGAAAATACGGTAATAGGAACCACTTCAAGCCAGGGGGTGCTGCAGCTTCCCCTGGGTCTGCTGGGGACCGTCTCCAGCAGACCAGGGACACCGGGAGCAAAGCCGGGGAGGCGGAGGGGCGCTGGGGTATAAGACGAAAACCTATCTTTTAACTAAAAAATTAGGGGGTCGTCTTATACGCCCAGTAGCCTTATACACCGGAAAATACGGTAATAGGAACCACTTCAAGCCAGGGGGTGCTGCAGCTTCCCCTGCACCTCTAGTTCCAGCACCTCTGCTGGCTGCAGTGGCTGGTGAGACCAGATAGACGGTGGCTGGTTGCATGTCACCTCTGCCTCCACCCATCAGCCCTTTATATGCGTCCCCTCTCACTGTCCACTACCTGTTATTCCTGTTCAATCCCCACAGCTCTGCTGCTCCTCCATATCCCCACTGGCGGGGTGCGTCCCACTACTGACGCTATGCGGGGAACCAGCCCGTGGTTGGATCATTCAATTCACCACCTGCCTGGCTGAAAGGATTCTTCCTTCCCTCGCTGCCTCTGGCTGGGCTGACACTCAGGGTATGTCTACACTACAAAGTTAGTTCGAACTAACGGACGTTAGTTCAAACTAACTTTAATAGGTGCTACACTAGCGCTCCGCTAGTTCGAATTTGAATCGAACTAGCGGAGCACTTAGTTCGAACTAGGTAAACCTCATTTTACGAGGACTAACGCCTAGTTCGAACTAGCTAGTTCGAACTAAGGGCTGTGTAGCCCTTTAGTTCGAACTAGTGGGAGGCTAGCCCTCCCCAGGTTTCCCTGGTGGCCACTCTGGCCAACACCAGGGAAACTCTATGCCCCCCTCCCGGCCCCGGACCCCTTAAAGGGGCACGGGCTGGCTACGGTGCCCGTGCCAGGTGCAAGCCTGCCAGCACCCAGCTAGCAGACCCTGCACCTGGCACGG